CACAATTGGTTCTCGGTTGGGTTTTTTGTCTAACTGCTCATAATCTCTGAAAAGTTTATGACCAAGGACTTAACACAGATGGCAGGAATCCCAGTGAATGAGATACATGTACACTACACAATCTTCCTGGCCCCTTCCTGTACTTACCTCCATCTGTTACAGTGGCTCTGTGGCCCAACACACACACAAATAATTCCTAAGGCAACCTGTCTGACCACGCAGGTTTGTCATCTTTCTGAAATATAACTGCACAATACAGAATTAACAGGGCCAGTCTTAGCCATTATCACTCCTACTGTTAACTGACATACAGAGAAGCAACAGTGAAACATAGAGGTTCGATGAGGTCAGATCTTCAAGTAAGATTTCTTGAGCACCTGAGAACCATGCCAATTTTCTCTGGATGAAAAAAAAAAGTGACGCATTTGATCTTAGTAGTGTGATTTGTGGTTCACATCAAGAAATGTGGAAGAAACACAATGTCCCAGATGCACAATTATCTGTGGCAATCACAAGGCTAAATCTTGTTCCCTTGCTTGTAAACCTTTTTGGAATGGATATTTATAAATAGAACGTAGTAGAAAGACGATTGTTCCCACATGATACTGGGAAAGAGCTGAAGATCAAGAGAATCCCCCACATCAGCTGAATCAGCTTTTTCAGGCCGTAAATATCTATTTTGGGAAAGAGACTGCTTTCCTTCCTACCCTCACAGACGCATGCCCCAGTCACAAGCAGGATGTGGGAGTTCTGTTTTTCTCCTACATTCTGAAAAAAAGAAAAAAAAGAGACTGCAGGGCTCTAGGAAGGAAAGAGAGGCAAACATGCTGCCATGCAGAACTAGTGCTCTGCAATGTCTCTCTTGGATAACCTCTCTGAGCTGCGGAGGTTGCAGGGACAGCAGGCAATGCAAAGTCTAGGTGCCAACCATGGGAGAACAGAGTGGCAACAGCCAGCAATGGGCGTCTGCCATCCTCACAAGATATTTCCTGCCAGTGTCATGATCAGTGCTGGGGAGCTGTCTGCCAGACTTGCTTCATCAGGCAGCAGCCCCTGGTTTACTGACACCTTGCTATGATTTTTCCACTGCAGGATTTGCCAGAGACAGTGTTGAAGTAGAGGCAGGCACCACACTCAGCACAAAAGAGCAGCAGACAGCTTGCTCCCTGCCTACGTCCATGCTGTGCTGTTTATTATGTGTCCCATCCTCATCTCTCCTCCAACCACCAAGTCCTACTCTCAGAATCCTGCTCTCATCACAGTGAGCATCACCAAACAGATTTTCCCTTTTACGCTTGCTCTTTGTATTTCCTCTCTGCACCAGCTCTTGTTCACAGCCTCCCACTCCACCTCCTGCAAACATTTTCCCCTCCCACCATCAGCACCATTCCTGCAGGAGGTGGATGCTGCTGGCTTGGCTAGGCAGTACTCACTTTCCTCCTACTCCCAAAAACTGGGGAAGAGTGGCAACAGGGCCCTTTGCCTCCTGCCAATCAGTCCTTTAGTGCTTACAGCACAGTGGGAAAAATTGGGCAAAAATGCAGATTTCCAGCCCTCTCCCTTCACAGAGTCGCTCCCTTTGATGTAATTGTCAGTGAAGAAGAGAGGCCTCTCAGAAGTAATTAGGGGCCACATTCATTAGCTACTGACACAGCAAGGGGTGAAGCTCAAAGCTGCACTCATGGCCATCCCAGGCTTTGGTGACCTGGCTAAATTCTGGTGAGATAGAAAGCCCCTTTTTATTGCAAGAGCACGGGGTGCACATCTCTCCATCTGTCAGGCTCTGCTTGACTACATGTGGGCTGCCTGGAGTTTTGTCTCAGCCTCTTTATGTGTAACAGTACTGGATACATATTGTTACCTAATTTATTATTTTCCTTGGATTTGTATAATTATACATCACTAGAAATACAGATCTCTATTACCAGTAATTATCAAGAATGGACATGTGTTATGTCTATGGACCTAGAATGAGAAATGAAAGGGTACAGGTGCAGAGTGATGATAACGAGATTTGAGAGTTCAGGCTCAGAATGACATTGGTGGCCTCAGGGCCATAAACAGCTCATCAGTGCACAGTAACTGACCTTCAAAAGACTGCAGCCTCTGAAGCTGGGTAAAACCAGTCTTAGAGATAAACAGAACACAGACTGAGAGCTCAGTGCATGAAAGGCACACCACAGGTAGTAAGATCAATTGTGTGGGGATCTGTGAACCAATGAAGGAGCAAAGTGTACAGAAAAATAGAAAGCATATAAAAGTGATGCCAAGTGGACCCTGGAGTTTGTACCTTCACCATCCTCAGGATGCAGCTGTCCCACTGTGCCCTTCCCTCAGGGATGAAGCCACAAACCTAAGGATCAAGCAGAGCAGAGAAAGGGTGATCATAACACAAGGGAGACTACTAAAACCTTTCCATGTATTAGTTTTAACTGCTTTTAACTTAGTTTAACTTACTGGTGAGGTACCAGTAAGGCTGCTGGTAAATTCTCATCTTTGCATACAAGGCAGCATCAGACACACTAGCAGTCCCAAGGGTCACTGAAAAGGGAAGAGAAGCAAAAGTCTTGCACACTGTTACATGCTGGGTCCTTATCACAAAGCTGTTCTGGATGTCATCTTGTGTTGTATTTATAGACAGAGTACATAATGATTTTAACAAAAAGGCACAGATATAGAAAAAAGGCCTGCTTCACAGTGAAAACAGGGAGACTGAGGAGATGAGGATCTCACCACCATCACATCCTACAGGCAAATGAAGCAAAGCAGCAGTCAGGAGAATTGTCCTGCAACCAGGGACCTGCTGGCTGACCTCCTGTGCTAACAGGTTTCCCTGGCTGGGGCAATCAGAAGAAACCTGTCTCACCAGCAGAGCTTTAATCTTTCACCCTGAAAACAGAGGAAGGCAATGCAAAACTTCTTTTCTTTGCCCCTTTATCTTATCTGACATGCCGACACTCTGTTACTCAGTCACTAGATGTTTGGCAACTTGACCAAAAGCACTTTTTTCATCATTATTTATTCTATCTTATCTCCAGTAACTGAGGCAGTCAGCTACAAAATTGGTGGAAGGCATCATCAGCCTGCCTCTGTTCACTGAAATGGAAGTGCCTCACTGAGGAGACAAAAACACAGCTAAAACCTCTAGCTGATCACTTTCTTCCTAGTTACATGAAAAATAACTATTCAAAAACATTTTTCCCCTTGAAGATGTCTACTACAGCTAGGCAGAAGGAGCTGTGGCCAAACCCCTGTGTACTAGTCCACATGTCAAAGTCATCACTCATGGAGGACTCAGTCTGTAACCAGAAACAAAGTCAAAACCTGTAACACAGAGCATACACTGACACTTAGGGCCTTGTGTGGCACTGATGGCAGCCAGCATTTTTAAGGACAAACCGGTGCAGGTTGGGTGAGAGTTTGACAGTGTCAGTTGTTAGTCTCAGCAGATAAGAATGAGAAAGTGGTTGTGTTTGTGATTCTAGTATAAGCAACCTGAAAATAATGGATTTGAGGTAATTATTTTAAGAGCCTGATGTAACTCTATCCCTTATTTCTTACCTACAGGATTGCTATGTTTTGTCACAGAGAAGCTATTTGCCTGCTAAATGATGCAGCTCAGAGATAATCAGACTGCCTGGTGTGTTGAAACAGCAAACTTCAAAGTGAAGGAGATAACTGTTTAAACAGTGTAGCATGCTTGGCCACAGATCAAAGTTTCTCATGACTTAATATTTATGAAACATCTAAGACTGTACTAAAGCTTTAGCAACATATATTTGGAGACTATATGAAAAATAAGTCTAATGTGTCTTTGGCTCCTCAAACAGTAGAGGAGAAGAGATACATGTGGTATAGCTCCACAGTGGGAATGAGCTCACCCTGTGGCACTGTGCAGCAAGGGCAATGCTGTCGCACATAACCCATGAGCACTGGTCAGCAGAGCCTGAATAACTCAGCAGCTTTCAAACAGCTTGATCTTGCATATATTTTTCTTCATGAAATAGACTTTCTTGGTCACAGAACAAAAAATTTTCTAAAAGTTACAGATTTGTGAAATACAACGGTAAGGTTCAAGACACAAAGGGTATGTTTACACTGGCAAGTTGCAGGAAAGATCAGTCTCCTAGAATTAGCAAAGCAGAGGGAGGTGCTTGGCCTACTTCTGCTCATGACCACCAGGACATGGTCTCGTGTGAACCCAC